CCTAAACGCTAAACCCTAAAGCCTAACGAAACCCTCCCCAGAAGCTCAGGTTCTTTGCCCGCCCGGGTCACCTCCGAACAGAGGGCTGGGAGGCCAACTCGGAGCATGGAGGGTTCTTGGTAAACATGGCGAGAAAGAGAGGATTATTCTCAAGCGAGTTTCCCCCGCTTATCTGTTGAAAGAGAAGGAGGCTTATGCTCGAGAGAGTTTAGGGGTTATTTAACGTCACTTTTGATTCGCAATCAGCATGATCTACCGCTGTTGCTGTCATCACCACTGCTTCTTCGCCAAGCCTCCTTTTCAAATTCAGAGGGGTTCCTGAAAGGGCACGCTTAACCCTAAACCCTAAACCCTAAGCCGTTTTAGGCGAGGGCTTGTTGGGTTTTGGGGAGCCACTAGGGCTTATGGCTTAAGGCCAGAGCCGGCGCATCAGCACCCTAAACTCCTTGTGTTCTTCGTTCTTATTATGAGAACCGATAGAGTAATCCAGTCTAGATATAGGAACCCTTGGAGTGTTCCTAATCGGAAGAACCCTAAAGCCTAAACCCTAATTCACCCGAGTCCCCGCTGAGTTCTGAAGCTTCACAGGCTGAGTTCTTGGCTTTGCTCTCGACGGTTGGCACACTGCCGGATGCTCAGAGGGGTAGATTCAGGGGTGCTGTCAGCACTTTTGTTAGGGTTCGAAAAGGGCTTCTGTAAAGGCTGCAGGGCTGAGGGGTTGACAGATGCTTTAGAGTCATTTAATTCAGAGCCTGTAGAGTGTAGTTTGTTCAGACACATGTTTGGCTTTCTTTGTCTATGCTAGGAGCTGATGCGCTTTTTTCTGTTGCGGCTTTGTGGCCTGGTGCACGGAGCGAAAGCGAAACGGTCCAGAGTCTTCTTCTTTTCCTGACTTGTTCCGTTCTCCCCTGCGAGGCTCGTGGCATACTTCCTCCTGGAGTGTTTCACACGTCCGCACCTCGTGGAGTGTCAGATGGACTCCCGAGTTCTAGCCCGGAATCACTGAGCAGTAGGGCCCTAGGTGTCGTTGGCCCAATGTGCCCGCTGCCGAGGACTTCGCCACCGGCCTGTTGACATCTTCATCGCCTGTCGCAAGGGGCAGACCGACTGATGTTGATCATGGCGGTGTTGGTAGAGCGGTGTAGCAGCCAGGAGGAGGAGCTAAGATCGACTGCCCTTTGTTAAGAGAAGCACTAACACTGGCCTTGGCTTGACCAACTGTTGTTTATTGTCGCTGTCGACATTCTGGTACAGTGATTACTTTTTCATGTACGTACCATATTGCCGATGCTACTACTTCTGCCTTATCATTATCATTGAAACGGACAGGTTGCTCCCGGAGCTGACGGCACTGCTGGACGAAGGCGGTGGGTATTTCAGAGGAATCCTGTCGGCGTGATTTCTGGGTGTGCGCCATGCAGGTATAAGGGGCTACTTGGTGGGTTTAGTCAGTGCCTTGGGGCCCTGCGGAAACAGACGCCTTTGAGCGTCCAGGAGCTCCGGCATTCAGCGGAGTGCAAGCACGGCTCAACAGGTAGAACATCAAGTTGTCTAGTATGGAAGGAACAAGCCGGTCAGCATTCATAACATTGACGGTAGTATACCATAGTCCGATGCACAACGGACTCCCAGGCCACAGACTGTAGCAGTGGTAAGAAGGTCTCCACCGGGAAAGCCGGGGGACCAGTATCTACAGGGTAATTCAGGTGCGGAGTCCTGGGTTTGCTGGAAACCGTACCCAGGTTGGAGGCCTAAACCCCTCAGAAGGGAAGCAGTATGGGAGGCACAGATGCAAACCGCCGCCTGCTGGATGCCACAAGGCAAACACCGCCACCTGGCATCCCTCCTCCCTTAAGATAAATCCTCACCCTTGGCCCCAGGCTAAAACCCCCTACATTCTCAACCTAAAAGCTGCGCCTTACAGCCTTAAACGGCCAAACTCTAAACCCCTGTCACCGGTGTAGTTTCCACCAAGCCTGCCTATAATAAGCCTCTCAGCGGAAACGGTGTAGAACGAGGCCCTCCCAAAAATCCTGTCGTGGCGACTTCACGCCTTGTGCTTTGTTCTTTCAGTGTGGGCCGAAATAATCACCAATACTATTTTGGCGGTTCCTTTTTATAATGAAAGTAGAATCTACCCCACAAGCCTATTAAAATCATTAAGCCCCTATAAGTATAGTACAATGTACCCCAAAACCCTATTCTAATTATTAAGCTCTTGCGAGACACAGCCCCGACCGACCCAAATCTCCCGACGAAGTAGGCCTTCGTAAATGATAGCAGGCCGTAGTGGATTACTGTTTAGGGTTTAGGGTTTAGGGTTTAGGGTTTAGGGTTTAGGATCATGTTCTAGCATTTCAGTTCGTACAGTAAATCATAGTACGACCGAAGTCCTGAAAACCTCCAAGATCGCTTGATGGAGCATGCTTGACGCAGGAGTAGGATACCCTAACCGTCCAGGCACCTACTATATAGGGCCTTAGGGGCTCTAGTACCCTTTTTTTAGTAGGTACCTGGGGGGTTAGGGATAGCTTGAGGAGCATGGAACCCAAACCAGATCACCCGAGGCTGCACATCGCGGCAGCTGCCGGCAGCAGTGAGTGTGTGTCCTGACATGTCTTGGATTCATCATATTGGTGGTTGTCAAAATTATGGTCCCTTTTTGGGTCTTTATTACAATACGGCACCTATTATTTAGGGTACCACAAAAGGGACCATAATTTTGACAACTAGCCATATTTTAGGCGCCCCGGGTTAAGACATCGTTCTCTTTAAGGTAGTTGGGCATTCCGGCAAGGTTGTAGTCTTAACAGCTTGAGGTCGAGGTTACCGATCCCGAACATTCCCGAACTCTTTCATTAAACTCACATGCAACCATCTGCGTTCAACATAACATAACAGAGCCCCTATTCAGCATTGGAGTGTCGGTCAGAACGTGCTGGCTGCGTGGTAACAGCCTCTCTCAGGCTACGGCTCGAAAGGAATCCCCCTTGTCGGGGCCCTGATATTAACAACTCATGATCCTTGGATTTCTGCGTGTCTTGTAGTCGCCGAAGTGACTTCCACTGTCACAAGGGCCTATAGGTCCTGAACCCAAACCCCTTAGCCCCTAAACCCCTGAACCCTAAACCCCTAAACCCCTAAACCCTCAACCCCTGAAGCCTAAACCCCTAAACCCTAAACCCCAAGCCGGTGCCAAACCCCTACCAAGCCTTTGTTGCGGGGTTTTGGGCGGGCTGGGCGCCCAGCGTTGCGTGGGATGCCTCAGCAGCCTGCTTTACATCCTTTAAAATGAATTTGAAAACTCGTCTCACGTCCTCCAAATCCTACTAGCTGGAATATAGCTAGCATTCTGCGGGCTAAGAACGCAAAAGTCACATGAGTCACATGATTGCCATCTTCTTCTGTCTTATTGCTGTTGCTACACTTCTTATACTTGTTTTTCGTATGGATTGTTCGTTTAAAGTTCCCCTAAGCCCTAAACCCTACACCCTAAACCCAAAATCCAGGTCACAGCTTTGCTGCAGCACGGAGCCGACCCGTTGCTGTGTGCACCTTGGCTACGGCCTACGGCGTCAGAGATTTCGGAGCACTCGGTTTTCAAGCTGAAAAGCGGGGTTTAGGGTTTAGGGTGCAGGGTTTAGGGTTTAGGGTTTAGGGATTAGGGTGTAGGGTTTAGGGTGCAGGGATGACGGCTTGCTTTTTTGTTCGAGCCTTCCCAGGATGATGGCCACGGGTGAGATGATTTGGCATGATAGGTCCTCGGCCTACATCGTCGCACAGCCAAGGATGTTGAGGATGAGACTGCTCTCCACAAGGCGTGCCGGCGTGGCGACGCGAGGCCATGCTGCACTTAGGCAAGACGCAGAGCTCCCAAATCCTAAGCTCCTAACGCGGCAGTTCAAGACCCCTCTATGTAAATCCCAAAACATAAAGCCCTAAACATTAACCGCAAATCTGAAACCTAAAGCTTGAGATTCTAAATCGTGAGCCCCAAACGGTTCCCCAAGCGCCTTCAACCATGAACGCTCAACACCCCGAAACCCTTGACCCGGGAGGTGCATTCGAGCGTTCCTCCATCCCCCGAACGACACGCCGTGCGTGTTGCGAGGCGCCTGCTTCAGCGTTCAGGGCCTTTTTGCTTGGTAGGGTTTAGGGCTGCTTCTTTTCATAGGGTTTAGTGTTTCTTCTTTTTTCATAGGGTTTAGGGTTTCTTCTTGTTCCTGGGGTTTAGGGTTTCTTCGTTATGGGTTTAGGGCTTTGAGGGTTCAGGCTTTCCAGGATTTGAGGCTGACAGAGCCAAGCACTAGCCTGGACCGAAGTTCCTGGCAGCCTTCCGTGCACAAGCAGGGTTTGGGGTTTAGGGTTCCGGGTTCAGGGTTCAGGGGTTTAGGGTTTAGAGTTCAGGGTTCAGGGTTCAGGGGTTAAGGGTTTAGGGTTCAGTGAGATTCAGGGTTCAGGGGTTTAGGGGTTTGAGGCTTAAGGGGTTTCGGGTACACAAAGTCCTTCATGTCGGATCTGTCGGTAAGGGGCCCCAGTATGAAGTTTAGGGCATATCCTACACCCTAAACCCTAAACCCTAAACCCTAAACCCTAAACCCTTGCCTGAAGGGCCTCTGGGGAGGTCTGGAGCCTCTGAGACTCACCTTCAGGTGACCACCTGGAGTGCACTCTCCAAGCGAACAAGTCGGGACTCATCGCACGACAGCTGCTCTCGCCGAAGGCTGGGAGTTGCTCTTCTGGGCTTTGGAGTACCATACTTTAATACTTTTTTTGGGGGACCTGTTCCTTAAAGGAGCCATGATGAAATAAAAGTCTATACGTTTTTCTCCCTGGTTACTTCAAATTTAGGTCTCTGAAGTTCCTTTCTCTGGCAGTTTCAGGTTGCCTCGAGCCCGGGACCCTGAGCACTAGAGTCACTAATGTAGGGGCCTTCATTCCTTCATCATTAGAATAGTTTTTTTTTTTTT